CACACACACACACACACACACACACACACACACACACACACACACCGCGCACACACGCTCACACACGCTCACACACATAAACAAAGTCATGCTTTTTTTGTGGCCGGTGTGTATTAGCGAACACGACAACACACACACTGCGCAGGGAAGAAGAAGGAAGAAAGAAGGAAGAACGAAGGAAGAAAGAAGGAAGGAAGAAGGAAGAAGGAAGAAGGAAGAAGGAAGAAGGAAACGCAATGGCCATACACGTACGGTAATTCCGAGCACGTAAATGGGGCGGGGGGGGGGCGCGGGGGGGGGGGGGGGGGTTGAAGGGTGACGTAGATAGAGAAGAAAAGCAAAATGGGAACAAAAACTGGAAGAAAGCTAAACGAAGATTGAAGAGGGGGAAAAAAAATTATCTTTTTTTCGGGCCTGAGAGGTTCGAACTCACGACCTTTCAGATTAATACTGTATGCCTTTTTTTCCCACTAATCATGGTATTGAAAAAATGGCATTAAAAAAAAAAAAAAAAAAAAAAAAAGGCACTTTTCTATTTAATCCCGACTCGGTCCGGTCGTCCATGTCCGGACCACAGCCTTGGCGTCGGGATCCCAATCATGGTCAAGAACAGGTGTTTGTCTTTATTACAGTAATTAACCATTCGTTAGCAAAGGAAGGCCACGTGACCAACTGGCCTAGCTCAGTTGGTACACCGGAAGCAGATAGATGGCATTGAGTAAAGTGCCAAAATTCTACGTTACATAGGGCCTCGCTGCACTACTCTCGAAATGTGCAAAACGAGGGTGAATATGTCAAGGCCGTTGAGGTGTGTTGAAAAGAAAAGAAAAGAAAAGAAAAGAAAAGAAAAGAAAAGAAAAATAGAAGAAAGGCCACGTGGCACCCAATGAGCAGTAGACTAGAAGGTCACGTATCGGGCACAGTACGGGTAGTAAATACGAGAAAATCACAGCAGAAGGCCACGTGGCTATGTTCGAGTATTAGACAGAAGGACACGTGGCAGGCACACTGCGTGTACAAGACCAGCAGGCCACGTGGCAAAATATGCGTAGGACACCAGAAGGCCACATGACATGCACACTGTGTAGTGCATCAGATGGCCACGTGTCAAAATACGAGTAATGTATCAGAGAAGCACGTGGTGCATTAAAAGAGAGAGAGAGAGAGAGAGAGAGAGAGAGAGAGAGAGAGAGAGAGAGAGAAGACCGTGTGCTAGATTACAAGGCGAGGGTGGAGAAAGTACGGGTGGGAACACATTGGAAGGACACGTGGAATCTCGAAGGCCAGGCGGTGCATGCGGAGGACACGTGACA